GTTAATCTGGTGAAAAACTGACTCCGGACATATATTTCCACTAGATTAGAAGTAATTTCTCACATTCCACTATCCTTTCACCCATTTGTCCCCAAGGGAATGTCATTCCCTCCACTCTAGAACATTATCTTAAATGCTTTAACTGGTATTGAGTTAGGGATGCCAGAGGCAATAGGTGAATAAGCCACCTCTTATAATCAGCCTGGGAAACCCATTAGATTTTCAGATCCAAATCATATGAGGTCTGTTTTTACCTAAGGGGTTGCCTTAGGACAAAAATGCAACAAAAGGGCAGAGCAGTGTAGTGAGAGTAAGTCTGGAGGTTGTTGGTAAATGTGGATTCTAGGTTTGGATATACACTCAAGTGACTGAGCGCCCTTCAGCACATCCCTTAACCTGTCTGGCCTCAATTCCCCAACAATAAAATGAGAAGGTGGAGATGAGGTCTCCAGAACACCATCTAGTCTTGACAGGCTGAGTATGGCTCGAATACTGGGGGTCAGAAAGGGTTAATACAGCAGTTCTCAAAATGTGGTCCCCAGAGCAACACCATCAGCACCATCTGGGAATTTGTTAGAATTGCAAATTCTGCCCCCATCTCTAATACTGAATCAGAGACTGAGAGAGGGCATAGCAATTTGTGTTCTAACAAGCCTTCCAGGTGATTCTGATGCATGTTCAAAGTTGAGAATGGCTGAATTAATATGATTTTCAATGGGCCACATGTAATCCCACCTGATTCACTGGGGATATGGCTCTGTATTTAGCTTGAGTTATTTCCTTTTAGTTTCTTGGGTCCAACTATAAGTATGAAGAAAAGAGACAAGTCTAAGTTCCCATCCCCCAAAACACACATGTATTAATATGACTCAACAAGCTCCTCCTGTCTTCACAATAACCAGTGAGGTAGGCAGAGGTGACTGGGATATTCCCAGGGAGGGGATGTTCTGGTCACACACTTAGATAGGTAGGCCCAAACTAGAATCCCAGCCCTAATTTCTCACACAGTCCTTCTTAACTGCTTGTGCTTGATTTTGATCTCTTAGTCATGAGCAACCCTCCCCTCAGTTGCATGGGATACTCACCGCAGGCAAGAGCCAGGAGGTGAGCTTGCCAGGTGAGTGCCACGAACATTCCTCCCATTGCAATACAGGCCAGAGAGCTGTTGAAACCCCAGAGGCCAAAGTAGATGTCCTCAAATGGAGCTGCAAGACTGAGTCCTATTATGCAAGATGGGAGGGGTCAGAGCTTTGGACCAAAGGTGGGATGCTGTGGAGGGAGCCAGAGGGTGGGGGTGGNGGAGCGCCGCCACGCTTCCCAAGCGGCGCACTTATCCAGTGCACCACCGGGCCGGCCCAAACAATGTAGTTTTTGAAGACAATTTTCAAAGTACTGAAAGAAAAAGAATTAAATCTAGAGTTTTGTAGCAGCTAGCCTAAAATTTAAATAAGGGTGAAATGAAGGTGTTCTCAGGCATACGGGATCTTAGAAGGTTTACCTTATAAAACCCTCTTTGAAGACACTTTTTTTTTAAAGCTGAGTTTTTACCAAGTCCCATTTAGATTTGGAGTTATTCAGATGCAAGAGAGCTAAGGTTGAAAACACTCTTTAAAGAAGAAATCCAGCAAGAAGACACACAAACGAAGAAGGATAGTACGAGCTGTGGGGTGTAAGGGTGAATAAGTGAGTTAATAAAGCTTCGAAGTTGCCTAATAAGCAAGTAACAAAAAATAAAAACGTACACTTACAACAAATCCAAAATGAAAATTTCGTATTAACATGATTTCAGCAGTTGTTAGGAAATGGGCCTTCCCAGATGAAGCAGGCTAAGGTGCCATGTCATATTTGGAGAGAAGACACAGGTACTGATAAGCTCAATAAATTGAGGGGGAAAATAAGCAAGATTGATTCATAATAAGTTGTGCAAAGCCACCAGAAAATCCTTTTTCCAGACCCTTAAGTCGTAGTGATCACCAAGTGCTAGACACAACTGGTGTTTTATATGCTTTACACATACAATGACTAATTCAATCCTCAGAACAATCCTGTCAGCTAGGTACTGTAACCTCCATTTTTTTTAAGATGAGGAAACTGAGTCACAAAAAGGTTAAGTAATTTGCTTAAGTTCATAAAGCTAATAAGTAGCAGAGTTGGGATTTGAATGCATGTGCTCTGCAGGGTCTGAGCTCGTAGCTAGTTTAACACACGGCTTTAACTGTTATGCTGCACTAGTAAAGAAAATTCTATCTAGCCAAAGGAAGGTAAGTGTGGTAGGCAGAATAATGCCCTTTCCCACGTCCACATCTTAATCCTCAGAAACTGAATATGTCATCTCACATGGCAGAAGGGACTTTGCTGCTGTGATTAAGTTAAAGACCTTGAGATGGGGAGATTATTCTAAATTACTCACTTTCTGCTTTATATTTTTTATATTGATTGAATTTTTGTTTTGTTTTATTTTGTACCATAAACTTGCACTACTTCTACAAGAAAGAAAATAATGACAAAGAAATGATAATTTTTTTACAAAGATGGTTATGCCAATTACCCTGATTTGATCATCACATATTGAATGCATGTATTGAAATATAATTCTGTATCCCATAAATATGTACAATTGATATATGTCAAGTAAAAAATAAATAAATTTATTAAAAAAATAACGGAGATATTCCCACTTTGGGGAAACACATGTACAAACATCTTTGGCTTCAATTCTCTCCATGGTCTGTCAAAACCTCATCAACATCTGGGCCCCAAATAGTTTCTGCTTAATCTTGGAGGATGTCCTCAGGCTGTCCCTATGCTGTCCTGTACCCTTTTCCACCAAACAGAATTCTTCCTCTCATTTTTTAGGACTTGTGGAAAAGCTGCCCTCTCCAAGAGTGCTTCTTGATGATTCTGAACTGAACGTTCACCCCAGAGAATACTGTACTATAGATTTCTCCTTGTTCTGCTACAAAAATCGTATGGTCTCCCTTGGGCTCCCTCCTTTACCTGGCTTCTACTGTCCACTGTAACTCTTTGTGCACAGGAACTGTAGGGGATCTAAAGCTTCTAAGCCCCATACTCCTCTAGTACTCTCTGGGTCTTATCATGAGTGTTTAATACATATTTGCTGCTACTGCCTACATGGAAAAATAAAGAAATGCAACCTAAATGAAGGTTTGAAACCCCAAACCAACCTCAGAATAAGGCTGGAAGATCATAGGATAAAAGGTTCTAACTCAGCTGAACTCAGGTGGCCATAATGGTCTGTCTTTGCCCCAAGGTTGAGAACAAATATGGAGAATGAACAAAAAGTCTTGACAGGACCATTAGGTGAAATAGCTGAGTAACTGTGAAGAAATTGACAAAAATGACATCTAAATGACAACACCATGGCAACCTGAGTTTTGTTGACCTTGTTACAGCATTAAATCACAATGGAATGAGCCTTTAGAACACCCAGGTCCCATTCTTCCTCCTGCCAATGCAGGAATCCATTCTAATTCCTGGTGGTCCAGCATTTCAGCAGCTGCTTAGATACCTTGTATCAATTAATCTGGTGAAAAACTGACTCCGGACATATATTTCCACTAGATTAGAAGTAATTTCTAGGAATCCATTCTAATTCCTGGTGGTCCAGCATTTCAGCAGCTGCTTAGATACCTTGTATCAGTTAATCTGGTGAAAAACTGACTCCGGACATATATTTCCACTAGATTAGAAATAATTTCGAAGAAATTGACAAAAATGACATCTAAATGACAACACCATGGCAACCTGAGTTTTGTTGACCTTGTTACAGCATTAAATCACAATGGAATGAGCCTTTAGAACACCCAGGTCCCATTCTTCCTCCTGCCAATGCAGGAATCCATTCTAATTCCTGGTGGTCCAGCATTTCAGCAGCTGCTTAGATACCTTGTATCAATTAATCTGGTGAAAAACTGACTCCGGACATATATTTCCACTAGATTAGAAGTAATTTCTCACATTCCACTATCCTTTCACCCATTTGTCCCCAAGGGAATGTCATTCCCTCCACTCTAGAACATTATCTTAAATGCTTTAACTGGTATTGAGTTAGGGATGCCAGAGGCAATAGGTGAATAAGCCACCTCTTATAATCAGCCTGGGAAACCCATTAGATTTTCAGATCCAAATCATATGAGGTCTGTTTTTACCTAAGGGGTTGCCTTAGGACAAAAATGCAACAAAAGGGCAGAGCAGTGTAGTGAGAGTAAGTCTGGAGGTTGTTGGTAAATGTGGATTCTAGGTTTGGATATACACTCAAGTGACTGAGCGCCCTTCAGCACATCCCTTAACCTGTCTGGCCTCAATTCCCCAACAATAAAATGAGAAGGTGGAGATGAGGTCTCCAGAACACCATCTAGTCTTGACAGGCTGAGTATGGCTCGAATACTGGGGGTCAGAAAGGGTTAATACAGCAGTTCTCAAAATGTGGTCCCCAGAGCAACACCATCAGCACCATCTGGGAATTTGTTAGAATTGCAAATTCTGCCCCCATCTCTAATACTGAATCAGAGACTGAGAGAGGGCATAGCAATTTGTGTTCTAACAAGCCTTCCAGGTGATTCTGATGCATGTTCAAAGTTGAGAATGGCTGAATTAATATGATTTTCAATGGGCCACATGTAATCCCACCTGATTCACTGGGGATATGGCTCTGTATTTAGCTTGAGTTATTTCCTTTTAGTTTCTTGGGTCCAACTATAAGTATGAAGAAAAGAGACAAGTCTAAGTTCCCATCCCCCAAAACACACATGTATTAATATGACTCAACAAGCTCCTCCTGTCTTCACAATAACCAGTGAGGTAGGCAGAGGTGACTGGGATATTCCCAGGGAGGGGATGTTCTGGTCACACACTTAGATAGGTAGGCCCAAACTAGAATCCCAGCCCTAATTTCTCACACAGTCCTTCTTAACTGCTTGTGCTTGATTTTGATCTCTTAGTCATGAGCAACCCTCCCCTCAGTTGCATGGGATACTCACCGCAGGCAAGAGCCAGGAGGTGAGCTTGCCAGGTGAGTGCCACGAACATTCCTCCCATTGCAATACAGGCCAGAGAGCTGTTGAAACCCCAGAGGCCAAAGTAGATGTCCTCAAATGGAGCTGCAAGACTGAGTCCTATTATGCAAGATGGGAGGGGTCAGAGCTTTGGACCAAAGGTGGGATGCTGTGGAGGGAGCCAGAGGGTGGGGGTGGGTGGGTGGGGTGTGGGGTAGGGAGAAGCATCCCAAGAACTCCCATTGGACCCTAGGAAGCAAAGACCTCAAGAAAATCTGGAGCACAGAAGAAGCCTGAGACAATGCAGGGATGGAAGAAATGCTCAAATTTGGTAGGAGCCTTATCCTTACCTGCTGCTATCCCCAGCAACGACCCGATTGCAGCGTGCAGGCACATGAGCGGGGAGGAGAGGAGGATGGCACACAGGAGAATGCCCCCTGTCCACGGATTATCACAGCCGTATATCTGACCAACCCCCACTGGCACAGATTTCAGTAGCTGCACAAGCAATTAACAAAACGAGTCCACTAAAACAACTGAGCAGAAATCCTCAGGACCCCCACAAACTCATACAATGTAATTCTAGATTTAACATACCTTATCTTTCAAGATTAGTATTTCTACTTTTAAAGTTTTCTCTCTCTTTAATTACAGAAACATCCAAGTCATTCTTCAGCCCTATCCCCACGGATACACCAGCCCTTCCCTGGTGCACACTGAGCATGCCTTGTCAAAACTCCGCTACACTCTTGGCTGTGCCGCTTGAACTGACACTTGGCCTCGGTCGCTCATGAGCTCCCATGAGGTATCGCTGCTCCTGGCGGTGAGGACCTGCCACTCCTCACAGTGAGGATGGCAGAGACCAAAGCTTTCAGCTGTCCCTCAGTGTTTAGGACAACCCATCAATGCATCCTTACTTTCAATAGAAATATTATCACCGCCATGCAATTTGGTAATGCTAAGGCCAGAGACCCAAAACCGGGTTATCTTATCCACAATTTAGAAGCAATTATTGGCAAGTTGATGAATCAGGGCCATGTTCACCCTTCTGTTGTTAAGTGGAACAGGTATTAATTTAAACCAAGATATCTTCAGTTTATTCCAGTTGCTAACAACTGTCAATCAGGCCTTAAAACACAAAAACACATGCAAATGTTACAATTCTACTTTACGACTGAGGCCTGAACATAGCTTATGTGCTTGCAGAATGGCAGTTCTCAGGAAGGCACGGGGCTTGCCTCAAGCTAACAAATGAGAGTTCTTTACAACAAAGCTGCCAGGAGGCCAGAATAGGCATAATTACCTATGACACTTCCCTTTTGAGCAAGGCCGTTTCCTGAAAGACCCCTTCCACAGCTCCCTCTCTCACCCTTCCACCCTTTCTAGGTCCTATGGGTGCCTCCTGGAGCAGAGACTCTGACAGGGGGAGCCCCAGCTCTGGCACGAGGGGAGGGTCCCCTCCCCTCTTGTATTAGGCTGGGTCTGATGAGGGCTTCCACATGCAAGTGTGGTCCTTGCTCAGCACAGGGGACCATAGTGTGAGTCTGATTCCACCCTAAGATGGGTCCTAAATTCTTCCAGCCCAGGCTGGGGCTTCGTGTCTACACAAGATCACTTCCTCTTTCTCCTAGACCAGGGAACTTGGCACAGGCAAAGGCTATATAGGTTTTTATCTCAGCACTTGACAGCAGAACTCTCTATCCCTCTATCCCTGGCCATGGGGTGGGGGCAGGGGGTGGGTGAGATGGCAGATAAGTGTGCTGATGATGGGCTGGTGTTCAGAGTGAGGAGAAGGGCAGGACAACCTGCCCCAGATCAACACCGTCCAAAAGAACATGGCCATGGGGTGGGGGCAGGGGGTGGGTGAGATGGCAGATAAGTGTGCTGATGATGGGCTGATGTTCAGAGTGAGGAGAAGGGCAGGACAACCTGCCCCAGATCAACACCGTCCAAAAGAACCTTCTGAGATGATAAAATAGTCTATATATGTGCTGTCCAATACAGGAGGTACTAGCCATGTGTGACTACTGAGCACCTGAAATGTGGCCAGTGAGGCTGAGGAGCCAAATTTTAATTACTTTACATTTAAATCTAAATAGCCACATGGGACCAATGGCTGCTGTACTAGACAGTGCAATTCTAGATAAATACTATTTTATAATACTATTTCCATGGGTAGTTCTAATAAATCTTTGATTCTCCTTCTGAGTTATTTTCAAAAGCTTCCATTCATTTTCTGGCAAGAAGCTAAAGAAAAGGCTACTTGAGCTCTTCATGTGTTTCATAGCCTGATGGGAAGTCTTTTGCATATTAAAAAAGGTGTGGTTTCTTTGGTTTTCTTCTGATTTCAAGTGTTTTCTTGTTCTCAATAATCAAGAAACCTTAAACAGATTTATTAAATAAACATCAACAGGAAGAGCTGGAATTTGATTTGGGTTAACTAGGTTTTTAAAAATCCATGCTCTCTGAGTACCTGTCTATAAAGAGACACATAGTAAACGTCCTCAAACTCAGGCCCATGTCACAATCTGGGGAGTTTGTTAATACAAGTTCCCAGGCCCTACCCAGAGATTATGATTTAGAGGATCTGAGATGGAACCTGTTTTGGTATTTAAAAAAACTTCCTGGATGATTCTGATGCCTACCAAAGCTTGAGAACCCTGAATGATTGTACACATTCTATGAGATATACCATAAGAAAAAGCAAAATAGAGAGGTCCTGTAATGAGCTCCAAGAGTGAGCATCTAATTCTCTTGACTGGAGGAAGCAGATCATAGATTTATCCCCAGACTGAGGCCGCTGGCCTCAAGGGCTGGCTTCCATCATACCCACCCAAACAAAGGCCGAGCTCACAATAGAGTGTCTGATTTCCAATGTAGCTATAATCTGGAGTTAGCGCTGCAGATTTTTAAGGAAAAGAGGGGTAAAAATGAGTTTTGACTAAACGGTCATTTAAAAAATCCCTTAGACTCCAAAGCTTTGGAGTAGAAGAAATGCTTTAGATGACAATGGAAGGCAGAAAGGCCACCCTAGAGCTGAGTATCTTTAAGATGCTGATATCCATGGGCAATTAACCAGGAAGACATTGGGTGTCTTCCAGAGGCAGGGGAGACATGAAAAGATAGTATCTTACCTCCAGGGCACTGAGGTCAGACCAGCTGACATTGGGAACTGAAGTCACGGGCGTGAACAATTTGCTTGGAAAGAACAAATTGTAATGTCCAGTGGCTGAAAGGTACATTGACAACGCCATGTTGAAAGGGAGGGTGAAGACAGGTAGGTCCCATTTGCAGAATACAGAATTCAATGCGCTTAAGAAAACTGGGCTAAAAAAAGAACAGAACAGAAGAATACGCATGTGACAAGCCAGGCTGACAAACTGAGTCTCTACACTACGAAGGGGCTTTGTTTCATCTGCTGATAAGTCCCTAAAGTGTTGTGTTGGCAAACTTCCCACAAAAGAAAACCTGGGTAAATCCTATCACAGAGACAATGCATCTTACATAAAGTCAAAAATCAACTCTTAGCTTACCTAGCTTTTGAAAATTACACTCGGGGGTTGCTCAGAGTGAGTTATATATCAAAGTTTTACAAATATTTTTGAAGTACGTAAGACACATAAAATAAAATATTGTCTACATAGTTAAAGCCCCCCGTGTGACACTACTTGATCATATGTCCCTTCCTCCTCACCACAGGTAGCTACCATGCTGAGTGTGGCATATGTCATTTCCATGTGTCTGTTGTATATCTATTTTTGGAAAAGGTGAACAATTGTTCAAAGAAGGAGGCAGGTGATGTGGGTTAAGATCTTGCAGTCAGGGGGGTAGCGTTTACACCCTTGAGCTGCTGATAAACTGTGTGACCTTAGGCAAGGCATTCTTCCTCGGTTTCCTTGTCTGTAAACTGGGGGATGGGATTTCATGGTCCTTGTGTCCTGTGTCACTCTCACTTGTTGATGCAATCAAGGAGCCATCACTTGAAGATCAGAACTGCAGATTAACTGGACTGTGGGATGGGGAGTGGCAAGCACCCGCAGGGATGCCTCCTGCTCTGGAAACTGCTCTTCAGAGTGGGTCCCAAGTAACCTCCTGGGGGCTGGCAGGTCCTCCTCCACGTACCTGTGGGTACAACGAGGGTGGGCGGTCCTCCTGCAGACACTGTCCATAGTGGGCTATCCTTCTCATTGTGTGGATATCAGTATTTTATATTCTAAATACACTATAGAAAGAAGGAAATGTTTCCTTCATCATCTTATATTTAAGATGATATCAAGATACAAACTAGTTTGAAGGATTCAGGGTAAAGAAAAAAAAAATTCAGTAAAAAAATTTGTTGAAGGGGGCCCAGGCAGGTGGGTGACTGGAGTTCATCTAGGCGCAGTGGTTCTCAAAGTGGGGTCCCTGGACCACCACACCAGCATCACCTGGGAACTCATTAGAAATGAAAATTCTCAGGCCCCATCCCAGACCGACTGAATGAGAAACCCTAGAGATGGGGAGTAGCCCTCTGTGTTTTAACAAGCCCTCCAGGTGATTCTGATGGTGTTCAAGTTTGAGAACCCCTGCTGCAGGGAGTGGGTCTCAACTCTGGCTGTATTATAGAACCACCCAGGGAGACTTAAAATTCCCACTCTCCAGGCAATGGCCCAGACCAGTTATATCAGAATCTTGGTGGGTGTGCATGTGTGTGGGGCACATACATCAGTGTGTTTTAATGCTTCCCAGGAGGTGTCAGTGTTAGTCAGGGTTGAGTACTCCTGGATAAGGGGAAGATATTGTTGGATATGTAGGGGGATCAGCCATAAGGCCAAATAACTGGTTATATGGAAATACTTGTATACGCCTTTTAAAATAGTTGTTTCTGTTTCCTGTAGACATAACTTGAATCTAAAATTTTAAATTTTTTAAAAAAAATTGTGGTAAATAGATACCATTTTGACTATTTTTAAGTGTGCAATTCAGTAACATTAAGTACTTTCACATCATTGTACAAACATCACTGCCATCCATTCATAGAACATTTTTTTATCTGGCAAAATTGAAACTCTGTACCCATTAAACAGTAACTCCCATTCCCTCCTCCTCCCATAATTTTTTTTTTGGCGACTGACTGGTATGGGGATCTGAACCAGCCCCCATAATTTTTTAAAAAGGCATTTTGAAAACCAGGTCCAACTTACCAAGTCATGGACACAGCAGATACAGGGAACAACAGCCACCAGAAATAGTTTCCCTTGTCTGAGAAGACAGCCATGAGTATTCCCACCAGGGTGCCATTGTAGCCCTGCAGCCCGGCTGCTATTGTTGACCTGCGGGCAAGAGGCATGGCGTGGACCTTTCCCAGTGGACTTTGGTTGAACTTGCACATAAATAACACTTGTAACTTCCAGATCATATTCATGTTAGAAAATGAGATTATTCTTGGAAATTTATCTGTAAGCCTATGTAAGCATCACGCAAATACTAATCAAAGCATAAAGAAGTAAAATATGCATGGATAAAAATACAAATGTGCATGTAGAACCACTCCCTCCCCAGGTGTTACAGCTAAAGAGAGGCCTTTGTAACTTCCAGATCATATTCATGTTAGAAAATGAGATTATTCTTGGAAATTTATCTGTAAACCTATGTAAGCATCACACAAATACTAATCAAAGCATAAAGAAGTAAAATATGCATGGATAAAAATACAAATGTGCATGTAGAACCACTCCCTCCCCAGGTGTTACAGCTAAAGACAGGCCCCTCCCTCCCCAGGTGTTACAGCTAAAGACAGGCCCGCAGCGTCTGAGGCAGGGAGGGAGAATCTGCAGTCAACCCACTCTGCTTGCTTTTGGCCTTTCCTTTGGAAAGTTATTTCTTTTAAATCATTAAGGACTGCTGACTTGAACAGAATTTTTAGCATATAAAACCATTTCTTAAGTCTGATTTTTTGGTGAGAGATATAAGATTCCTGAAATGTAAATTAATTTTCTTAGTCTTTCATCTTATAAACATTAATTTTCCAACTTAGCATATGTTTTCATATTCCTGTGCTTTTATTTTGTCTCCAAACATACATTTTCAAGTTACTGTGAAGAAAAACCATTACTTTTCTTTCACTTGGCAAAGTACCCCATTTAATTATGTGCATATTTAGCACCTAATTCTTTCTGAGGTCCCTTTTTGCTTAGTATTTAACGTGTCTTCTAAAGGTTGTTATATGGGTAAGTTTCTACTCTGACCAAAATAGTCCCCATTTCATAATTGGAGCTAGAAGCCCTGAGTGAGAAATGGAAAGATTTCTGTAGAATAAACCCCAAGGCTGACAAGCCAGGCCCCCCAGGGCTCTGAGAGTTGGCAGTGTCTGCCATCATGAAGGTCACAGGGTCCACTTCCCAGGAACCTGGCACTCAAGAGCGATGTCTGCAGGGCATGGGGGAGTGAAGACGGTGAAGTGAGTCCAAGGGGAAGCGGATGCCATTTGTATTGGTATAACCCAGAAATTGGGACTACATGTGGTGACAGTGGAGAGCTATGCAAAGACTTGTCCTCTCAATAACCGACTTGGAGATTTAATGCTTGAGTTTCGTCAGTGGAAAATTAACTGCAACATCAATGAGTTGTGGATGCATAGTTAAAGCAGCAGGAAGACATGTGTTCACTTAAAACAGGATTGCCATTTTAATGCAGTCTTTCGGGACCCAGAAAAGTGAAAGATATTTGAAAACTAACACATGTAAATATCACCTGTCTTCTATATAACTCCTGACAAAGAAAATGGGATTGGTCGCGTTTTGCTGGAACAAAACAATGAAGGAATACTCAATACAGTACAATCCTATACCACATCCCCAAACTGGGAAGAACATTCTTGATGTGCATTGGAATAAAGTTCAACCTAAGATACAAAATCACCCTCCACAGGGAGCAAATCAGGCTCCTTGGGATTGATGGGAAAGTGGGGCGTTTCCTGAATCTCTCTCCAGAACCTCCTTAGGCAATTTACAGCAAGTTTTACAAGAGCTTAGCTGGGTATTGACCATCACTGGGGATTATGCATTGATCCTGGACATCTGGAAGACTGGCACCCTCCCTGAAGGAACTGGCTAGTCAGGAGCTGTCTATTGGTAGAAGTCAGCTCATCACTCCTTCAATGATAGATCAAGTACAAAGTACATGCTATTTTTAACCTAACATACATCAGAAGACTTCTTAAATGCTTCTTAAATCAGAACCTACTAACTTGGAGTTTATGGTTATTCATCTCTCCAGGAGCTGAGCTGACCTTTGCACTGTCTATGAAGAATGAGTTTGCTAAAGTAATCATGAGAACAAGATACAATGGGTTATTAAGCCACTAAAACTTTTCATGAACTCATATGAATTTTTGCACAAATAAAATGCTGATGACAAGTAATTTTATCAATCACAAAAGAGCTTCTCCTGGAAATTACTTGTAGCTTAGTTCTGGTTACCATGTACTGCCATGAGAATCTGGCATCTTCAGACTGGCCACTTACTCAAATACTGATAAATACTTACTCAAATCTTTATAAGAGACTATGAAGGATTCCCTGACCTCTGACTAAAGGCAAATATAAAGAGTTCTGTGGGATAAAAGTTGTTTCTCCTGGAAAAGGTGTGGCTTTATCACTGCTGCCCCTGGTCACTAGTCAGCTCCTGTGTCTCAGAAATGAGCTGAGCAGGCTTGGAAGGATGTGCCCACCTGTTTTGGCTGAGCAAGAGAGCTGTCAGAGTGGAGACCAATGTCCCCAAACAGCCATTGAGAGCCCACCAGGGGTTCTGGACCAGAAGTCCCATCAGAATCAGGATTCCACTGATGGGGTTGCTGACGAACACAACTTGGGATATGCCCCGAAGAACCCAGTCGACAAACTGGAGTATCACAGGTTTGTCTGGAAGAGAGGAAATGAACACAGCTGAGGAAGTGGCAAGACAAACGATGCTCCTGCCCAGCTCCAGCACACAGCCTGAGCACAATCATCAAAATCCCCTGGATTTTGAAACTTATTTTTTATATTCCTTTAAGCTTTTTCTCTCTGCACGCTTTACCCCTTTAGTGGCACTCAGATCCCTAAAAGCATCTGGCTTCTTTATGTACAACTCAAACTGTCACTACAAGAACCTGAGCTCCAGAAAGCATTTAATGCACTTATTGTGCTCAGAGGTACAATTGCTTAAGCCAAAGGAATGAATTGCCAATAGTAAAACTACCAATAGTAAAACTGAAATTACAGATGGAGCTAGGTGCCTTCCTTTAATATGAACAGGGCCCTGGTCTAACCACTATCTCCTTTAAAAAATTTTTTTTTTCAGGTTATAAATATTTTATTTTATTTTTTCAACACAGAGCAAGCTTGGCATGGATATGGGGCCATTTGATGTTTTTGTGACTAACAGGTTTCAGGGCTCTCTCTTATAGAATGTAAATGTACCTCTATACATATATATATGTAAATCTTATCAAAATTAAGCTTAGTCACTGAAAGAAGATTCACTCTCTGAACTTTCCTCTGCAGTTTTCTCACTTTCATCATGAGGCTCTGGAGCATCCAGTCTAGAAGAGCTGGGTCTGGTCCTTCTGATACCATTTTATTTTTTTTGCCACTGCTGGAATAACCCCTTGAGCTGTTTTGAGATATCTGGCATATCTAGGATCCTCGGCTGCATTTAAGATATTTTCTGCTGATATTTACAGTTAAGATGCTTCACTTTCCTGTGATCCAGAGTCTTGGGGACTGTTCTGCTGTGATTGCTTTAAAGTGGGTTTAGAATGTGATCCATTTGTGACACTTCAAGGAGATACTTCAAATGTGAATCATCTCAGCCCGGGGTAGATGACAACTTTGCATCTAAAACGTTGAGAGCTGTTTCAACTTGTTGGCTACAAAGAGAAAGGTCTGCCAGCTTCTCCTCACCAACCGTGGAAGAGTGGTCGAGGAACTGCACAGCATGCACCACAAGTTGCTTTAGAAATGCCACCATTCTTGTCTGTTGAATAGCTGGCACCGTGGTCAGGTCTGTGCCCGACCCCATGAGTGGAAGCCCATCCTCACCCACCTCCTCAGTGAGTGGGCTCCATTAAAAATTTTTGAAGAGGCTTTCAGGTTAGAAGATAAAAAATAAAAAAATGAAGGGTGAAGAGATAGATAAAAGGTTGGGGAATATAACCACGTATTTAAGTAGAAGTACCAGCAAGCCATTTCCCCCAAAGCCACGTCTCCCAACTCTTGGAAGGATGAAAGCATAAATACCTCTAAGCCAGCTGGCAAATTCTTTCATATCACCGGTGACATAACCAAGAGCCTTGGGGAGGCACTTCCTCCCTCGACATGGTGAAACCTGGTTTTTACGCCTGTCCAGTTTAACCACGGTGGCGCTGTCCTCCATGGTGTTCTCTTCCTCTGGCTCCTGAGGGAAGGACAGAGCCCATAAACATCTCTAACACAGATCACTTCAGATTGGCCAGCTTTGGGCCTGGGTTCAGTAGCCACAGATGTTAAGACTAAAGGTTTTCATCTGAACCATGATGTCCTATGGCACTAGGAAAGCACCATTTTCTTTCTGAAATATCATCATGGAGATTATTACCCAAACCCAAATCCCACGCTACCTTTATCATCAGTGCTGTTAATGTTACCATGACAAGGTTCTGGTCTTTAATTTCATAAGGTTCAGTTTCTAGTCCAACAAATGTTTATTGAGCACCTACTTCCCGTACTCAAGGAGCTCCGTCTAGTGGAGAAGACTGAGAAACAGTTAATATCAACAAAACAAGTCAAATAATATGAAGGTTCTGGTCTTTAATTTCATAAGGTTCAGTTTCTAGTCCAACAAATGTTTATTGAGCAGCTACTTCCCGTACTCAAGGAGCTCCGTCTAGTGGAGAAGACTGAGAAACAGTTAATGTCAACAAAACAAGTCAAATAATACGGAAAGAGCTAAAAGCAAGAGCCTAAAACTCAGGCTATCAATAAAAAGAGCAAGAAATCGGGTTACAAAGTGGCCTGCTCTCTGGTACAGACTGATCAGCTACTTTCCAAGACGAGGAGCCTTTTTAAATTAATTTTTTAATTTTTTGCCAAAAAAGTTTCATTTTTAAAAGTCTGAAAGGGAAGAAAAATATAAAACCGTTTGCGTGTATTGACACAGCGTAATAAACTCCCTTCCCCCACTCTCCAAGATTGCTTGAATTTGTCTTTACATCATGCAAGTGCCACAGATATTCTTTACTTTCGAAGTTTGTTATTTAAATATATAAAAACAGGCAAGAATGATATTTTACAAATATATAGAAACAGGGAAAGGTGGAAGTGGGCAAAGCTGTTGAAAACCAGAGTTGTAATGTAAGGATTGTATGATATAAGACTGTACAGGGCACAAGTATACTAAGCATGCCTCAGGAAAATACAAACAGTGTAACCATGACTGTGTTCACTATGGGACTATTCACTTTTCATGATAAGTAACAGGAAAGCACCACCATCACCAGAATATTGTACCCTCTCACCAGAATATTGTACGCTCTAGACAGAAATGATGGGCTCATGGTGTGGAAGGTAGATACAAAAGAATTCTATGCCCTAATCCCAGAGGTAGGCAGAAGCAGAAAGGCAGTGGTGAAACCACCTGGAGTGTGCAAAAACAGCCACCAGCACGGCCAGGTGAATATGAAGCGGGCCACTTTGTAACCTGATTTCTTGCTCCTTTTATTCATAGCCTGAGTTGTAAGCTCTTTCCATATTATTTGACTTGTTTTGTTGACATTAACTGTTTCTCAGTCTTCTCCACTAAACTGAGCTCCCTGAGTACGGGAAGTAGGTGCTCAATAAACATTTGTTGGACTAGAAACTGAACCTTATGAAATTAAAGACCAGAACCATCAAAACCCAGAAGATATATTTGTGGAATGTTGAAGCCACAGCCGCATAAGACATGACCAGAGATACACGGAAAGCCCCTGCAGATAAACCAGCTCATCTCCCTGTGGCCGGGCTGTGGACGAAGGATCCTCACAGCTGTTTCTGGTCCCATCATTGATCCATTCACCATATCCAACAAATAGCTATTAACAGATGATAAAGTTATGTCTATTTTTTAAATCCTGACTCTAGTTTTGGCTTCTATTAATCTCAGTATGCAAATCAATGTGGGTAACTGATTTATTATGGGGAAACAATTACACTTTGATTGCATTACCTCACTGCCCAACTAACCATCCTGCAGTTTAAACAATGTGACCATTAATCATTGCACAAAGTAACAGTTATTTATACAATGCATTCCAGACCAAGGTCCGTTTGGTCTTGGCAAAACAATGTTAGACACCAACATCTGTGAGATTTCCAACCAATCTTAAGTTGAAAAACACTGAAGGTCAGGAACCAAGACTAAGTCCACATGGGGCTCAGCTGACGCCATAGTTAAGGATGTAAAATTATTTGAATAAGTAAGCATTTATGAGAAACTGCCTTTTATTTCATAATCTAAGCAATGGTTATTGTTTATTTTCAGATATCTCCCTCTTTAAATCTCGAAACTGAAATATTGCTTGGTAAGCCCCTTCCTCAGCTACAGTGACCCATTTTCAAAGCCATGGCAGCTCATGAGAGGCATCAGGCTTCAGCCCAGGGTACGACAAGAAGCTCAAAGATACAAATGCTTTGAGTTTCTATAACGGAATGTGTCAGGTCCTAAAGTGGTGGCGTCCACAGAAAGCATTGAAGTGACATTTTCCATCAACTACAAAAACAGGTATATGGGCTATTCCAGAATGAGCAAATTCATGTTCTCAAAATTTCCAGCATGTATTTATTTATTTTAGAGGGTTTTAAATACCCTGTTGCCTAAGAGATTTTGGAGATACAGATTTGAAACCTGATAATATAACTGGTCAGACGTGATTGAGAACCTGAATGGCCTGAGCCACCCAAAGTTAAGTAAAGATTAAACTATTTTGTCCAAATCCACAGTCCAACATAAAGAAGGCTTATTGTGATTTGTGTCTCCCATATCCACATATTGGGATGGGTTGTAAGGCTATGATGTCCTAGAGAGAGGGGTCTTCCCACGGCTAGAGCAGACAGTTGCTGCTGTATCACAGTCCCCAGGAACCATTTATTCTGAAGTGCTGAGTCTTCTGGAGCCCCTGGGGGCACTGACTACTTGCTCAGAAATCAGGCATTAGGATTGGTTAGGAGAAATCAATAACTTAAAGTTATACCTCACCCTAAAATTTTATCACGCTGGCATACTTGCATTCCTGTAGGGAACTTTAGGAATCCACATGTCCCAACTAGGAAGGCAACACAAGGCTATGGATCTGCTGATGCTCAAACATCTCAGTCCTGACTAAGTGGCCCATTACATTTCCACTAAGAGGAGAGAACAATAAAATAGAAAGAACCCTAATAAAATAGAAGCAGGATAAATGTAAACCCCCAGACTACTTTTTCCTAGCTTTTCCACGGCTGTCACAACTCTGTAGTTCAATGGTCCAGCCTCTAAACCAAGGTGAGTGCCATGTGACTTTTGGGACCAAGATCCCTGTGTCTCTGGCTCAGCCCATAGCCGCACCACTCAGAGCTTACAGACCCCCACTTCCCAGGCTCTGCATAGCAAAGACACACCAGAGTTTGGAGCAGGTGCCCAGGTTCCTGAGACAGAGCTGCACGAAAGAAGCATACCTGTTCTTTTGGCCCATCAGCCAGTGCCAAGCATAGGTAGGTGAAGCCTCTGTGTGCTGCCTCCCCAGGTTTATTTCCAAAAAGGTCCATTCAAAAAGGACCATGACGGATGTCACCAGCACCACCAATCAAGGACCATCCATTCATCCTTCCTTTTTCTCCATCCATGACAAAGGGCAAAAATATGTGAATCAGCAGGACATGCAACCTGGCTCTGATGGAGGAGGTGGAATGCCCAGTGGGTTCCTGGTGGGGTAAGATGTGTCCCATACAGAGACCTCTAACACAGAAGGCAGACTTCCCCATCAGCAACAAGCTTGCAGAAGGGGGAGAGACGTGAGCTGAGTACAGCAGTGGAATGTTCATTTCATTGTGCTTAAAAAAAAAAATGTAGCAAACCATCCTGCATAGAGCCCAATGCCCTCATTTTGTTTTCGCAGAAGGCTGGTGGACCTGAAGTCTGTTTCAGAGGGAGAGGATAGGCTTCAGGCTGTGAAACGCTTGGGGCAAATTGTTAGCGGTCTATCTTGGGGAGAAACACCAACATAACATGTGGCTCCAGCCTTGCTCTTTATCCAATGTAAGAAGAAGAGTGCGGGCCGGCCCGGTGGCTCACTCGGGAGAGTGCGGTGCTGATAACACCAAGGCCCCGGGTTCGGATCCCATATAGGGATGGCCGGTTCGCTCACTGGCTGGGCGTGGTGCCGACAGCACCAAGTCAAGGGTTAAGATCCCCTTACCGGTCATCTTTTTTTAAAAAAAAAAAAAAGAAGAGTGCGTGGTATGGGATCTATTTTCTGCTGGGCGTGGTGCCGACAGCACCAAGTCAAGGGTTAAGATCCCCTTACCGGTCATCTTTTTTAAAAAAAAAAGAAGAGTGCGTGGTATGGGATCTATTTTCTGTAGTAAGACACTAGCCACACTTCCTGTGCACCACAAAAGCCCAGTCTAAGAGAATAATAAATGGTGTCTTTCTTATATCTAAATAAGAGTCCTTAAATATTGAACATTGCTTTGTTAATAATAAACAATTCCTAGTTGAATTCAATTCTTAGGGCGGCAACTTTTAATAAATTTTCTTTCTTTTTTTTAAACTTCCATAGCACCCAAGGATTTCATTCTTTCTTCAGAAGTCCAGTAAAGTTGTATGTGTGGTACATTATTTCTCCCCCTTTTATATATTGTATTTTTACTTTCTTCTATTGGCTTGGTCTGAAACCTGAAAACTTACCAGAGTGACTCAGAAAAACCCACACTGGTAAAATATTTCTGACATGTCTTAGAAAAAAATTGTGTGTGTGTGCACGGGCGTGTGTGTGTTTATCCATGGTAAACTTCCTGGCTAGTTATATTCCAAACTAATGTGTCTGAGGGTTGCATTATCTATATTTCTGTTTGATGAAGAACAATATTAAGAAATCCAGTGGTAGGGTTCTCATCCTACACAATGGTAGGATTCTCATCTTATACAAGGAAAGAAGAAAGAAAGAAGAATGAAAGAAAAAAGGAAAGAAAAAGACAAGCGGGGGCAGCGACATTCTCTCAGTGTAGATGCCTACACCTTCCACCTCTGCTCGGTGCCCGCCTTTCTCCTACCACCAGAATCACCCACACCTCAGAGCACCACATTCCTGAACTCAATATTAACATTTTCTTAGAGCCAAGAGACAGAAAAATTTGAGAGCTAGATTGGATTTTAGAGACCACATAGTTCAAGCCTTCATTTTATAGAAGAGAAAACTGAGGTTCAGAGTGGGGACCATCCGGGTTTACTCAGCAAGCAGCAGGCAGAATGGGCTTTATGGAATAGGTAAGCCCTGGTGGTTCTTCCAGTCTAGGGCCAGGCACATTAATGCTGCCCAGGATTCTGTTCAAGTACACAAACAGTAGAGGAGCTGCTTCTGTGGGCTGGGGTCTGCAGTGGGTGCTGGGGTCAGTGATGTACTAGACTGTACACAGCCTGTCTTTACAGCTGCCTAGAAATAACCCTGAAATGGGTTTGAACAGCAACAAAGAAAGGCTCTGCTATCCCCAATTTCTCTCTGTTCTCTTGCTCGAAGCAGCTACTCTGATGAATAAATATCTCCCCATGCCTCAAAGTGAGCCTCACTTTCCTGCTTCGCTGACACGTCCACAACAAAGCTGGTGTGTGCTGAAGTTAACATCCCAGGAATATTCTGGAAGCTGCGCCTGATGAGCCTTCCAACAGGAGTCAGAAAGCATTTCTCACAGCCCAGATCACTAGTGAAACAAGGTAGTGCTTGGCATTTTAATGTGAGGCAATACCAAGGTTTCAATTCAACCCATAGTCCCCATTTCATTACATGAAGGAAAACTCATTCTATTGTCAGCATATATCAGAAATTTGTACAATTGGAGAGGGCTGAAAGTCTTCAGTTTTTCATGCCTCCAGTATCACTTTGGAAAATAATACAAAGTTTTGGATCTGGATATAGAAGAAAGCATTTAACATTCATGCTCTATCATAATAAACTTTCAGCATTGATGCTTATTTGGTACTTACTATAATCTTTATTTTAGGTAGTTTTTGATTTTAAGTGGCAGGAGGTGCTCAGTTTTCTTTAAAGCTGTAATCAGAAATAGAGAAAATGCTGTCAGGTATTCCTGTCCCCTGATTAAAACACTTCCCTCCTTGGAAGACACTACTAGAAGCCTTGAATTCCACATGCTAAAAAGGGCAGCTGCAAGGACACTGCCACGTTCATGGCCTCAGTTGTAACCGACTAGTCCTCCTGATGGGTACAAAGCACACTCTCTTCAGCATGACAGCTCACGCAGAGGAGTCCACATACCCATAACTGGAGAGGACCATTTCCAAGACCCCAATTTTTTTCTTTGGAGTCATGTAGATACTTGTCTCCAACTTCACTTATTTCAAGATCACAGCCCCAAACTCCCAATACTGTTGATTAACTCAGAGTCGCTTAGCAACTCCAGTGAACACCTTGCTGAAAATCCTCTTCCACATCAGCTCAGGTGCTGCTTGTACTTTGCTTCAGAAATCATGAATAAAGACATTGCTTTTAAGCTGCCAGAAACAAGCCTGTGGCTTTGGTAAATTGCTTTCTAGTCTACCACAACTCTGACTTTGCTGCTTCTATTAAGTTCTGTCAATCTGAAATATACTTCTCCATTAAAAAAAAAAGAAAGAAAGGGAGAAAAGAGCAAGAATTAGAGAGGACTAAGAAGACAAGCCCTAAATAATGAACAGTTGGAAATTAATAGAAATGAGGAGGGGACTTACACTCCAGCTGGCTTCCCAGGGCAGAAGGCAACGGCTGATAAAGACCTGCAGGGCTCTATTAAAAGGGAGAGTGCTCCAGAGGAGATAGTGCTGGCGGGAGGCACCTAACAGTCTTATACCCAGAGCCCTGCTCTGCGGATCCATGGGCTCGGCTTTCTCCTCCCACTTCAGGCACCAGTGCCAAAGCAATGCTGAGGAACTGGTCCCCTGGATTTGGCGCCTGATGTCTCTCTCTTTCTCTGTTCTTGATATTGTGCCAACTGCTCTTTCTCCTCCCACTTCAGGCACCAGTGCCAAAGCAATGCTGAGGAACTGGTCCCCTGGATTCGGCGCCTGATGTCTCTCTCTTTCTCTGTTCTTGATATTGTGCCAACTGCTTTACCATTGTCTCCACCGCATTCCGAGGTCCTTGCCCAATGATAATCCTGCTCAAAAGCATCTTTTTCTTCTCCACCCTGTTTCTTCTAGCCCCTACCCTCACCCTGAAATATTTTTGGAAAGATTTGTCACTGAAAAGGATCAATGCTGTTATTTAAGCTAAAAACCATGTGACGGGTTGCTGCAGAATGGACTCAGGAGCTATGCAGCTGCTCCTGGGGTGGAATTTTCTTTTAGACTTGATGTAATTTCTGCACAGGTGCAAAAATCTGGCCAGGGCCTGGGGGGTGTAGTGAGAGCGTGGGGAGGATGAGGTGTGTGTGAGCTGTTTTCTGTAAACTAACTGCCTTTTTGCCCAGTGAGAAGAAAACAAAGATACAAATGTTTCCCTGGAACATCCTCTTTCTAGGTGAGAATCCCAGAACAAATTCTACTGCCTTTAAAAGTCAGGAGGCAAACATTCCATAGCAGGGGAGCCTAAAACTGAATTTTAAAATACCTTCCTTCCCTATCTTTTAAAATTTCAATTCTGTGGCTTGTTCTGTTATGGCAGAAATCTAACTCAGGTGTACGTCTATGAGCACACACACACACAAAACCCAGAGAACAAAAACCAAAGAAAACCATGCAGAAGTCATGGGTCTTCCCTTCATGTACGCTTCCCGCCCGCTTGTATGTGCAGAAGATAGTCCTTATCGGCCTTCAGCACAGCGGCCAACAAAAACCAAAGAAAACCATGCAGAAGTCATGGGTCTTCCCTTCATGTACGCTTCCCGCCTGCTTGTATGTGCAGAAGATAGTCCTTATCGGCCTTCAGCACAGCGGCCGGGACTCTCTGGCTCCAACCCCTGGACACTTGCCAGACCACAGGGTTCTTTGTCTGCTCGGGATCCCTTCCTTCCGGTGCCTCCCACGGGGGCTCTGGCCGGGTGGGTGTGTCTGGGGCCAGATAGAAAGCTCATAGGTTCAGGTCCATGATTAGAGTTTTGAGATTCAGGCAAATTTCCCTCCAACAATTTTTTCCTAGTAAAATAAGGAGAAAATAACCCCCCAGGGTTATTCTGAAGGAGAAAAGTCACAAGAGGACAGTGTGAGGAGCCTGCTTTGGGAATAAAAAGAATCACGTCAGTGCTTCCACAACTTTCTTATGCAAATGGGCCATAATCCCTGATAGTAATAATACTGATAATCTAATGCCGAGAACTGCCACAAGTGGCTAAGCATTCACCCTGTCTGCCAGCACTGTGCTAAGCGCTTTCCACACACCAGTCATTCCAACCATCACAAAAATCCTCTGAGGTGTGCACCATTGTTCCTACTTTGCAGGTGAGGAAACTGAGGCTTGGAGAGTTTAAATAATTTGTCCGATGTCTAACACCGAAATTTGTACTTTTAACCACTCTAATGCTGTCCAATATTTTCAACTTCTGCCCATGTTTGCTTTCATTAATTCATTCATTAACCCAGTTAACTCAGCCATCAACATGTATTTACAGTCTTCATCTCGAAGGGGCTCCACATGGCACTCACGTGCCCTTCTGCCTCAGTGGCCCTGGTTAGGGGCTAAGGGTAGGTAGTGAGTCTCAGTCCTTCTTGGCAGAACCACTTCCTCTCCCCCCATCCCTATAAAGCCACACCTTAAGTGCTGGTCACAAAATACAGCCTTGTCATATGGTATAACAAGACGTGTGGGATTCCAAGTCAAGTAAACCCAAGTTTGAATCCTGGCTTAGTCCCTTACTAGCTGTGTGACATTATGTATGTTATTCACCCTCTCTGAACCTCAGATTCCTCACTGTAAAGTGAGGTAAGTTTACTTCTTTTATGAGGGTGCGACAAAGGGTGACGTATGTAAAGCACCATGCCCTACATGTGGAGGTGCCGCCATTCTGATGTCAGCCCCTCTCAATCAGCAATGCATTGCCCTCAAGGATTCCAGAATGGGATCCTTCTCCCAGCTTGGACCACAGGGAAAGCTTCTTCTTGGCTTTGGCATCAGAAGGGGTGCAGTTATAAGTACAGAGGCAACCACTCGGCAAGAACCCTGGACCAGGCAGGTGGCTGGTGCAGGGCTTGCCAAATTCTCATAGTGCAAGATCCCAAGATGCTAGGGTCTGCTGCTGCCTGGTTGCTGTGGCTTTGGAGAGAACCCCTGGGCTGGAGATCAGAGAGACAATGGGGCCCCCAAGACTGACAGCATCCATTCGTTCTTGGTATTTTTAAATGGCCCCAATTGCACAAGTCAATGACTTTTTCTCAGTTCTTTCTCTAGTACCTCTTGGTATCATTTACGAAGCATTATTTGCTGCATGTTCATGCCCTACTGTGGTTTTCCTTGCCACGCCTTTCCTTAGTCTCTCCCACCACTTCTCTTTGTGTGGCCCTCTCTCTGTCCCTGTTCTCAGGGACTTCACCTTCCATCTCTCTATCAGGCTACAATCACAAGTAAACACAGACACAGTGTCCCTCCTCTTCCACTTTCTCCATGGAGTTTCTGCCCCTAGACTGTTCTTTCTCCTCTCCCCTACCCACACTCTGTCCAAATCTATTTGGATTTCCCAGTGGACTTCTGTGAACTTAAAGCAATTCATGTCTATATTCCTCACTGGGAATTGGGCCGCGAAGGGAAGGCGGGATGGCCTGGCATCACCATTGTGAATGTGGCTCTCTGCACCTGGGACCTGGGTTACTCACCTGGGGGCCTGGCTGGATGGGGTGAATGTGTCAAAGTGAGGCTGCTGTCTGGAGCTGGAGAGGTGGCAGCTGGCTCAGGCTCCTCACAGTTGTCCCAAGTGGAGACTTAATATCTGCTGGCTGCACAGTTTTGTCAGCTCAGCCTAATTTAAAGGACCCTTCACAGTTTTAAGAAATGCTCCCTATTACTATTCCTGTGCCTCAGCCAACAGCTAGAGAGGGATCCAAAGTCTCCTAGCCCTCACTCCTCCTCCTCACTCCTCCTCCTTCCTTACTGTTGGCATCTGGTTGTGTGGTGGTGAACTCCCGCAGTTTTTGTCTGTCTGGAAAATACACTATTTATCCCTCATTTCTGAAGAATAGCCTTGCTGGGAACAGTATTCTTGGCTGGCAGTTTTTTTTCTACTAGTATTTTCAATATATCATCACATTTTCTTCTGGTCTGCAGAATTTCTGTTGAGAAGTCTGCTGTTAGTCTGATAGGGGCTCCCTTTTAGGTGACTATATGCTTTTCTCTTGCTGTTTTTAGGATTTTCTCTTTGTCTTTGAGCTTTATCAGTCTAACTATAATGTGTCTTGCAGACGATCTTTTTGGATTGAATCTGTTGGGGGATCTTTGAGCCTCCTGGATCTGAAGGCCTATTTCTCTCCCTATACCTGGGGAGTTTTCCATTATTATTTTGTTGAATAGATTTTCAATGCCTTTTTCTTTCTCCTCCCCTTCTGGAACACCTATGACTTGAATGTCTGTGCATTTAAGATTGTCTGCTACCTCTCTTAGATTTTCTTCTTTTTAAAAAAATTCTTTTTTGATTTTATTGATGTGGCATATCACATTTATTGATTTGCATCCCTGGAATGAATCCCATTTGGTTATGATGTATAATTTTATGTATGTGTCGTATTCTATTAGCTAGTATTTTATTGAGGATTTTCGCATCTATATTCATCAAGGATATTGGCCTGTAATTTTCTTTTTTTGTTGTATCTTTGTCTGGTTTTGGTGTCAGGGTGATGTTTGCCTCATAGAATGAGTTTGGGTGAATGGCCTCTGTTTCAATGTTTTGAATAATTTGTAGAGAATTGGTATTAATTCTTCATTAAAGGTTTGGTAGAATTCTGCAGTGAAGCCGTTCGGTCTTGGGAATTTCTTTGTTGTGAGACTGCTGATAACAGCTTCAATCTCTTTGACTGTTATTGGTCTGTTCAGATTTTCTGTGTCTTCTTGGCTCAGTCTTGGTAGTTTGTGTGTGTATAGAAATTTATCCATTTCCTCCAGATTTTCAAATTTGTTGGCATATCGTTGTTTATAATAGTCTCTAATGATTCCTTTTATTTCTGAGGTATCAGTTGTAATATCACCTTTTTCATTTCTAATTTTTGTTATTTGTATCTTCTCTCTTCTTTTTTTTAGTTAGCCTTGCTAATGGTTTGTCAATTTTGTTTATATTTTCAAAAAAACAACCTTTTGTTTCATTGATCTCTATAGATGCTGAAAAAGCATTTGGCAGAATTCAACATTTGTTTATGATAAGGACTCTATAAATTGGGTATAGAAGGAAAGTATCTCAACACAATTAAAGCCATATATGACAAACCCACTGCCCATATTATCCTGAATGGGGAAAAGTTGAAAGCTTTTCCCTTAAGAACAGGAATTAGATAGACAAGGATTCCTATTCTCACTACTCTTATTCAACATAGTGTTGGAAGCACTAGCCAGAGCAATCAGGGAAGAGAAGGAAATAAAGGGCATCCAGTCTGGAAAAGATGAAGTCAAATTGTCCCTGTTTGCAGGTAGCATGATCCTATGTATTGAACAGCCTAAAACCTCTACAAAAAATTCTTAGAGTTGATAAAGGATTTCAGCAAAGTAGCAGGATACAAAATCAACACACAAAAATCAGTAGCATTTTTATACTACAACCGTGAACTAGCAGAAAAAGAAATCAAGAAAGCTAGCCCATTTAAAATAGTCACCAAAAAAATAAAATACCTAGGAACAAAGTTAACCAAGGATGTGAAAAA